TGTCTGTCTGTCTGTCTGTCTGATGTAAGCTCGTGCGTAAGTACGTATGTATGTATGCCTGCATGCGTACAGACTATATACATGCATGTATGCATTTACGCATGTAGGCGTGTATTCTTGTATCTGTGCATGCATGCATGCATGCATCGCATGTACGTATGATGGATGTATGTATATATGTATGCTGTATGTATGTATGTATGTATGTATGTATGTATGTATGTATGTATGTACACATGTATGTACGTACTGCGTGTATATACATATTTTAAAACAGACACCATATGTGTACATGGTGGAGTTCCATACCTTTTTTTTATCAATTATATACCCATACGATTAGCAAAAGCTTCCAGGCTTTGTTGCAATGTCGAGCCATCTTGCAAGCCAGAACTTCATCCAGAAGCAAGGGTTCATCTTTATGAAAAGATTCCAGCCTTTTTTGAGATGCCGGGTTTGGCAGCTTCCTGCTCGCCTTGCGACCTGGCAAAGCGAGAAGGCCAACGCAAGTGAGAAGAAAACTTGGGTACTTGCTCCTGTCTATGCATCTAAGTGACGCTACGAAGACACTCTGCCGACAACTCGATAGCGCGGTTTATGCTCCACGGCAAAACCGGAACCCTACACTTGACGTCTGTAAATCAGCAACCTTCTCCGCAGCGACAAGTACCTATCGTACTCACTCCAGTCGCTTTGCATACAACTCGTGACTACCGCCCTTCGCAGCCGAATTTGTAACATGTACCTTCAAGCCCAAGACGATTGCGCCCTCAACAAGCTTCTGCAAGAAGGCAGATTGGCCCGAACTTCTGCCCATCGATGCCTAACAGGTAACCCACATTGCCGAATGCGTCTTGCACGGTGAAAATGTCCAATCACGACGAAGGCCTTGTGACTCAAGCACATTTTCGGGTTGAAGTACACCCTTGTTGCCTGCGAACCGAGAGCTGAACCAGACTCATGTGACCATGTGATGCTGTTTCACAAGAGCCACACTGCACTGCCTGCGGCCATGAGGTCTGCAGTCTCCATCGCTGGCTCGGGCAGGCTGTCTGGCAAGGCCAAATCACCTGCAAGTCGATGCGCGCGTCCCACAGCCTGTTGAAAGATCGAGTCTTGGAGCCACACCCAAGCCAGGACAGGTTTCATTCTGAGTCTGCGTGCAAGGAGGAGTTGCGGCCTCTATGCCAAGAATTAACGAGGCCCCGAACACATGACCGCATCGTCCCTGCTCCGAGGAAAGATTTCAGGTTGTGACCGCTTCGATCTCGAATGTGAGGCGATTAACCAATGCCTGGCCGGATGTGCAGAGGTTTGCTGGCATCTGTCACAGCTTCATGGCAGCTCTTTGCGGCAGTTGCCTCCTTGCTTCCGTTGCTCGGCAATCCAAGATCCTCACATGCCTGAAAAAAGCCGGTCAACAAACGGATAATCGAAAACGTCGCAAGCTGGAGAAGCCTTGCGGAGATCGTGCAGGGCCATGCTAGACAGGCCTGTTCCAAACCGAAATCCTACTTGCAACCACTGCCTCGACCGTGCCTGGCTGAAAAGCAAACGCATGGGCACCAGTAGCCTCGTTGCATCTGAGCAGAAGTACAACACTTGAACTCACTTTCGGCCACCTGAGAAGCCGAGATGGAAACCCACGGAGCAAAGCTGCCAGTATCCTTGAATTTACCTGTCAACTCGAGCAGAACAAAATGTAGGGTTGCGCATTTCACTGCATCGAACCTGCAAAAACTTCTACCCGCTCCTCGGGCGGAGAAGCAGCAAGCCTTGACGGATGCAGTCACTGACGAATCATGTGCATGCCTTGTCCATCCCAAGTGCAATTGCAGCATAGGCTCCCTTCGCACACCTCCGTCCTCTCCCTTGCCTGAAGAGAACTGACTGGTCAGGCACTCCTACTCGCTTGGAAAAACAGGACACACTCCCAAGCTCCTTGTTGACACTTTGTCCATTTCCTTGTGGACTTCTCAAGTCCTCGTATATCAATTGCATTCCAACTCCCTGACGTCGTTCCAAACAGCCTCTTCTTGCCCCACCGCTGTCTCCAACACCGAGCCATTCCTCACAATCTCTCCAAGCATCGTCTTGCGAGACTTGGACCGCCAGGCAAATGCGGCCAAAGAGTCGATGCTTCCAGGATATGCTGGGAAACACAGCTCTCGGCGGAGAGAGATAGTTGGGGCTCCTTCTCGAGGCTCTGCATCTCCTAATTTGGCCCCGACAATGAG